CGTGCGTCGCGTACTTTCTAGGATTCAAACCATCGGACGAGTGAGAAAAAACAAATGAGCAGAATGCACGCATTCATTGCTATTTGAGTCAAGATAAAGACTTTGTTTAGTCTAGTCTCCCAGTGTCCCTTAGGTCTCAGTATCTTTCTACAGATAGCCAGCAGGTATCGTTGCATATATCTTACCACTTACGCCCGCACGCAGCCCGTGCCGACCATTGGACAGTTAGTGAGACATGCGTAGGGTTATGGAGCTGGCAAACGGGTACTTCTATGGGAGTAAAGATGGAAAAGGGATTGGATCTGATACGTTCCGACATACTTAGTTGTATGCTATAGGTATAGCTTGAACGGCACACGGCAAGACCATACCATGTATGCGCATGGGAGGCATGGGAGCAAAACCAGCATATCACAAGTCATGGGAGCAGATCAAATCCTCAGAATGAATACCGAACAAGAGTTGTCGCAAGAGGTTCATCTCGCTCACAACGTTATGCTACATTTTGCAGAAAAATACATCAATTCGTATTCACGCATCCTAAAGAAATGTGTCTTGGCCCTTCGATACCTGTCAAGTGTACCCTCTTCATCAGATGAACGCACTAGGTCAGCCGGCAAGATCTTAGTAAAACGGTACGATGTCCACTAGACTGATCAGCCCCTTCAAGACTGTTAGCTATCCCGCCCAATTAGAGAGCGGAGCCCTCAAGCACCAGCGAGCATCGCTGGGGGTCCGATCGGTTCGTTGCCTCGTTCGTTCGTTCGTTGGGATAAGGGATGATTATCTGCTCACTTGACGAACCAATGGGACACCGCTAGGACTTGCTACCACTATTCGCTTTTGGCTGAACTGTGTTAGTCTACCATGCCCCGCGCCGTGGCCCCTGTCGTTATGCTACACAAAACTGGCTCAGGCTCAGGATTGTCCTAGGAAGACGGCAAGCTGCTTTATCTTAAGGTGGGGGTGGTCAAACAGGCTGAATGTTCATTTGTGTCCTCTATACGCTGGTAAGTACCGACCACAAGCTTGAAGGAGGGCTGACCAACGACAGCTCGGTTTGGAATTACCTCCGTGTACCTCAGCTCTATGAGAGTACAACTCTATGATAGCCAGCTTTAACCAAACGATTCGATAAAGGTGTGTGGGCTGGGAAAGACATCAACTCTGTACCTATTTGAGGAACACATTGTCTGTTTTTCTGATTGCCAAAGATACTCTTAGCAGCAGCTGCAACTGAAACAGTAACTCGTCGGCATGTCAGCTTCACGCTTGTCTTCAGTTGAATATCACTGCAGATACGTCAATGCTCTATTAAGTACAGGTTTCGTAGCTTTAAGCTTCTAGCCATTGTATAGCATTCACTAATTCATAATTGTGTTATATGGATAAAAAAAATTATAACATAACCTTATTTGCCTTTTGTTCGTAGTATCCGAGTAAGCCTCGAAGTGATCAAAGCAGAAAGTTCATGTACTAGTTATAACTATACTCGTTATCTAATTAGTAGTACTCGTCATTAATGTCTATTAAAGTCTTTATCCAATCTATTCTATAATGAACGGCCATCGAAATGTGATGAAGTATCTTTTCAAATATAGGGACGAACGGCTAGAATTCCAAGGTTGATCTATTGAGAAGTAAGTTTATAACTTCTTATACTGTGTCAATGAAATGTGGAGATATTGCGTTTCTACCTAATCTAACTTCGATGAAAAACAGAATGCCATCTTACACGTATTCTATAATGGGCTTTCTCATTGTATTTCTATCTCTTGCCAACTCTTTTCTATCTTCTGCACGATAAAAACTAGCCCAACGGTTTTGATGTTCGTGATCACTACGCAGCTACAATGTATTAGTTAAAGCCAAAACGTTCGCAATATTCATGCTTCAAGGAATCGAGGATTTTTCTAGGGGAGTGTTATCGTTTGTCTATCCCCCCCACCTTACATGGGGTTGTTATTTTACTAAACGATACCGATATGTGACGAACCTTGGGTACGTTAGTGGATGCTACATATTTATAAAATTCTGACTTATTAGATGATACAATCGAAAGAGTATAAGAGTATGTGGATATGACATTACACTGTGCTTCGATGCGTTGGGAAGCAGTAGACTGGTGGTGCGGGAGTAGCGGAATCCTGTATATCTATCTCCCACCAAACAAATTTACTGTTTTGCCCCCGGCGTCAGCCCCAAAGAACAAAAGGTTTCGAAGGATGTAGCAAGCGCAACTGGCCCAAAGCGTCGTCGGAACTAACGACCCACCACAAACTCAGAATGTTGAAACAGCCATCCGCAGCCGAGGACCGAGCGCATTAAGCGACGATGTCGTAGAACCCATGCTTTTATTTTACTTTTTATGTATATTCTAGCTCGGAGCAACTAGTTTGTGTCATGTATTATAATATCATACTAGATTAGTGGACGTATTGTGAAGGCGTAAATCGGCTAGCAGAAATGATCCCATCTGTGAGTATCAGGCGAAGTTAGACCCTTTAAGCGGGTGACACAACATAATTTACATTAATCTCTACTCAGATAACCTGATTAGATAAACTTCAGCGCAGGTTCACTAAGGTTTGTTAGAGCCTACCATCGTATCGTGTAGGAAAACATACTCGAGCATGTATGATGAACATATTTCTGTATGTAGGTGCCTAGCCTACACGGTAACAACCTGAAAATCATCAAAAGGGCCCGCTTAGTTCGTAATAAAGGACATGATCTCATCATAATAAGTATCATGAGGTCTCATCACATGTGCCTTAGCTACATCATTAATTCAATCTTCAATCTTCAAAATGGATAATCCTTTGCTTGATCTAGCTTCGATAGAAATTTAATAAGTATCCGCATTCGAATCAATTGTCGCTACCACGTATGCGAAAGAGCAGATCATAAGGAATGTATCCGACGCGATTTCGGTGCTACTTGCCGGTTCCATCCCATTGAACGTGTATCAAGGGAAACGCTGCCATAACAGGAGACTATCTGTATGAAAACACTTTTATTCAGGATCCTATCGTTTTCTTTGACTGCACGGAATCTTACAGCGAATATATCGTACACATTAAAATGTTCGCCAATGACCCGCGTCCCGTTAAACACAATTCCGACCCTTGTTCAATTTCACCGGATAAAAACTGTAGATCAAACTTCTACAAGAGCGTTACATCACAGCCATGTAGATGACAACGGAACCATGGCTCGTTCCCGATTTGACGATACCTGTAGCAAAGTTTATCTGCTGACGAAACAAATCTCATGCAGATCGTTGGGTTATTGGCCTGCTCGTTTCATCTGGGCCTTTTTTTTTTGAACCACTAGTTGTACCGGCACTTCGAAAAGGTTAAATTGCTTTTTGCTCAGAAAATCGTTCGGAAGAAAACAGGCACCGACCGAATGAAAAAGTCCTTCCAAACAAAAAATTTCAATTCGCCTTATACCAAACTTGAACTTCTCTGTATGTGTTATATAACGAGGTAAAATGCAACCTTGCTCAGCTCATCAATTGGCTCCGAGTTGCGACCCGAAATCCCCTTTATCTAGCTCTTCATTTATACTTGTTTTTTTCAAAGAATACACATTTGTTAAGACCAGAACAGGTCTAGTGGGCGAAGAAGCAAAGTATTAATACTAATGTGGCCAATGTTCGGGCTTCTTCACTTGAGATGCTCCGGCGATGTAATGACTGAGCCCGTAACAGCAGCAGTAGCAGCTGGATAGCTCCAATAGGGCGATAGTGGTCGTTCTTTTTGGCGATAAACAACAAATTCCTCCGTGAAAGAAGAAATTATCTTCTATATTTTCTGATTCTTCGCCTCGCCTCATCTAGGATACACATTACAGCTATTATTACATCTGGACTGCTACTGATTGGTAGTAGTCTTCAATAAATTCACTGAATTCCACTACAGATTCTGTGCACTGAGTTGTCGATGATGCAACTAGACGCTGACCGACTTCAAGCTGACATCGAGGCAGACCAATGCGACTCGATCCCAACGACCGACTGGCTGATTTGGTCTGCCGAAACATTTTGTTCGTCCTTTGATATTTTTTTTTGGTGGAAACAGTGTTCGACTATATACGTAAGCGTGACACCAGCTGGATGACAATGAAATAAATCGCAAGAGCGCGCCGTATTTATGAAGCGGGAAAAAAGTTTCTACTGGCTACGCAGTGCACTGTGATATTCCTATGGAAGTTTGGTACGTTTCGATCTTATTTGACGCTCTTATCTTGGATAACATAGCATTCAGGCAATACTCTGTTCGCTGTCGGTAAGAACTGAATAAATTAATTAGCCACAAAGTAGATCGACAGATAACAACAAAAAAATAGAAAGATCATATGTAAGAACAATTCTATTTATGTATGTTTACCGTGACGAATAGGGCTTCGGCATTCAGACGGCCATCGGACCTGGTTGCCGTACAGACAAGATGCACACGTTGAAGGGTGCTTCGTTTCTGAGTTAGATCCCTATGTATCTTTTGTACGCGTGGCCCAAAAACATATGGACCTAGCACGTCCGATGCATGTGCGGATGTTATCATGTCAGCCGTTAAGAAAGTATCTCAAATAGGAAGAGAAGCTTTGTCCTCATTTGGTCCAGTGCAGTTATTCAGTTCTCGTGGTAGTATGACAAGTTTATATCGGAAAGGCTCAGTTAGGGCTCAATGATATCTCATACGATTTGATCTGCGCGACTTCATTTGCCAAGTATGGGCATCACTGCGGCCTTTGCCTCTGTAGGTAAAGTGACTGATCTCTTTGCCAATACACCTTTGTGGAGACATTTGTACTAAGAGATTTCGTTTATAATAGAACATATATTAGATAGACAGACACTGGATAAATATAAATACATGTTATGTGACATGAATAGGCAGAAGAAGCTAAGTCTGACTCATCACTAACGATGACTCATTGTATTCAACGGAACTTCATTCGAATTTCGCCGTGGAGATAAACGGGATAAAGAACAAGCAAGGTCTAAACAGCTTTCCGGAGACGAATTCGTCGAATCATAGGATCTTTAAAGGCTTCATCATCGGACCGTTTGCGAAACCCCGACGCCCGACCTGGTGCCACGGAAAGGCAATGTATATATCGATGCGTTGCTTGTCGCATCCTATCCCTTGTCACGTCATTTACACTGCAAAATATTAAAATCCAATTTGGTAATACGGAACCCGCTAATTTCGTGAGAAGTAAGCATGACGACGACTGGAAAGTGTAGACATACCCATCTGGCGTCGGACCGTCCTGCCCCATGTGACGCACGGACACTGATGTGTCACACAAGGATCATACGCAAGTTGACCGCCGATGTTTACCAGTGAGTTCGCGAATAATCCCGGCCCATCTGCGTACCTTGTTCGCCATTCGTGTTTCGTTTACGCTAAGTGAAATCAAGATCTTCGACAAAATGGCGAGCCGGAATCCGGAAAACGTTAAGTTACTATTCAGTTTACTAATAATGGCCTCTTGATATATTGACTGTTTATTTCTGCACAAAAAGCTGACCGAAAAACAATGTTGCCTTCTGTTAGTGGTGTTAGAGCGCCGATGGGTAAGGCCAAGCCCTGATTGATGCAAAGACAAGTGACACAAGCGAAACTACGACCTGTGCATTGTATTGCGTACGCTGCTTAAGTGTGTTATCTAGTTTAAGAGCATATGACTTTCAAAACGAAGATGCTTCTCGATTGATTTTAGATAATTTTCTAACTGGGCAAATTTTTACCAGAGAACGCAATTTACGTCGGCGAAAATGTTTCCTAGTATTTCCTCAAGCCGTAATACTTTTAAAATAGATGGAATGCTGACTCTCGCCGTTGGTAGTAGTCGAGCGGTGCCAATGCGGGTTCCAAATTACGTGTGATTCGTCGAAGAAACTACATGATTTCCATTAATGAAAAATTGAAATTTCCTACGCAATTAAATGGCGTCAGCCATTTTTTCATATTGACTGTTTCAAATATGCTTCCAGCCTGCCGAACGCTTACTAGACTATATTAAATCTTCAATTAAAGATGTCAGCTGATAATACTGAACATTTTCATTTGAAATTGGCGGGTCCGCGCAAAATATATACGCTCTCTGACAATTTGGTGTCCGTCCACAACTACATCTAATCATAACTTAATCAGCCTCAACGTATATACAATTTATTGTTGATTGGAGGAGAGATATTATCTAACTAGGGGGAGACACATATCTGACCTTTAAGCAACCAGCTTCAAGGAACACCAGTGAAAGAAGTGTCGTATTAGCATGTCCTCTACAGCCGGTACATCCACCGATATACACCTTCCATCGAACTAACGTTACCGCGTTCGATGGGCGCCCTATCAAGGCGAAAGGGGTCGGGAAATAGACTCAGTCGGATATTTGCTCTATTGGAAATTCACTTGTTCAGGGTTTACGGGTGCCTGTTTTTTTCTATTTCTATATATTTTCAACACGCTTCGTTATTCTTGGGCATTCATCTAGCTGTTTTCACTTGACCTCCCGTCTGCAGGGGCCCAAAATGGGAAAACGTGCGTTTCATTCTCTGCGGAAAGGACGCCCACTCGGTTCAACGGTGTTGTGCTCAATAAGCTTCAACTCTATGGCAATCGCTTGCGTATCCGACTGTCTGTTAAGCAGAAGCATGAACAGAAATCACTCGACTGCACCCAAGGCGATTCATCGACATTCTGCGGCTAGCGCTCCTCAAGGAGGCACATAGTCACGTCGCATGTATTTGCATTATGTATGGCTCTACCTGGGTGTAGCCTTTCCCGATTACGCTACGGTACTCAATCATTTTCTCTTTCTTTCTATTTTCGAATTCCGATCGCTCAAACTACAAAAACGAGCTGAGGTATGTAGTACTCGATCAATCTTGCATTGGTCTGCAGCAGTGTTAGTTCCTCGAAAAGGCTATCTATGTAGCTGCGCTATAATAACGAAGCGGCCATATAAGTTCCGTTGAAGCCAGCACTGGTTTTCAAAAATTTCAAGCTTCAAAAAAAAGCAAGCATTCGTACGACATCAAACATATCAATCTAATGCTCAATCGGTTGACACAGGAACAAGACGAATGGAAACACTAGAAATGTTGGAACCTAGTCTCTACTGCATTCCATATCGCCCCACCCCAAGCCCATGTCCAAAAAGAAGATACTTAAGTTGGGTCGTAGAAAAAGCAGTTACAGCGAGTCAAGTAAAGAGTCACGCAAAAGTTACGCGGAGGACAGTCTTACACCATATGTACTTGTGCTCTCTCGTCTCCTGCTCGTCTGCGTTCCTGGGCAGATACAAGCAGTAGCTCGTACAACACGAGTGTAAACCTAACCTTAACCTGACAACTCCGTACAGTCGATCGTAGCAATGCCTTGTCTAACTTCGAGCCTGCTCGAGAAGCACTGAAGACCCTTTATCCTCTCTCTCCTCTGATCTACCAGCACCGCTCCCGCTACACTCGAAACCGAAATTGATGGGGCATTTATCTCGACGGTTTACGACGCAAGAAGGCGACGTCGAAGGATCAGTAGCCTTTTCCTCATCTTCCCCCTTCTTCACCTCGGTTGAGTGCGTTGTGGCTCCATTGGCGCTCCTTGATGGCCCAGCCCACGTTTGTCGAAAGCGCAAGGAGTCCTCACTCCTATTGAGGAGCTTTCTCACTGTCGTTCCGTTTTCCTCAAGGTATCTCTCTTACTCGTTCTTTCCCAAGTATGTCAAGAGCTTGGTACACAATGAGGCCTGGATACAGGCTTCACTGGACAACGAAGAAGGTACGCGCATACACATACGCGCAGTGTGCCACTAAGCAACTACCCATATAGAAACGAAGCATAGACAGAAGGTAACAAGGGGTCAGGGGTAAAAGAAAGGCTCACTACCTCTTTCGCCGACCCGCCGGCGTCTCCTTGACGTCTTTAGGCCTCTGACCAGGTTGCAAGCAACCTATCGAAGGAAGGCTTTAAGTGAGCCTCAGTCAACGGCTATTGTACCACGAGCCGATCCGAGCCACCGCATCGGTGGAGTGGGATCCCTTTACTAGGAGATCCGACCGGATAAAAGCTAGTTGTAGAGCACATTTCGATATCGGTAGATCAGCTCGCTTGAGTTCGTCAAATAGCCATATACAGACAGGCAACTTGGCTGTTAGCCTGACACTCACCACCCTGCCAACGCGACCACTCTTACCCACTATCATAGCTCTTAAGGTAGAGCCCCCACCCCACCCCCGCCCCCGCTCGCAGATTTAACATAGGCAGACAGCGGAAAAGACAGAAAAAAGCGCCGAAACTAGGGGAAAGCAACAGCGATCGCTTCGTCTTGCGCCTTCTGCTGCTATTATTGCTGCAACCTTGAGCTCCCTTTCCTTGCCTTCGTTTGCCCTTAGGACAGCAAGGAGCAACTAACGATGAGCTTCCTAGCATCCTTATTTCACACAGGCCGCTTGAGAGACGAATAGGGAACGCGACCAACTCTTCGACTTTTCCAAGCAAGCGCGTACGTTTTCTTCCTTACAATATTGGCTATTCCGCATAGGTCGCATAAAAGAAAATGAGGAAAATGTAGGAGGCTTTAGAAAGCATTGAGGGATGAAAGCACACAGGATTATAAGTACACCATTGCTGTTAGCTCTGAAAATACGTTCGCTGCTATTGTGTGAGATATTGAAAGATGAGCTAAAAAAACTTCAAGAGCTTTTAGCTGTTCGGCTTCATAGCAACAACTACAGTAGGAACGAAGTGCGTGTATTCAATCTTAGATAGCCCGAGTAGGTGAAACAGGGGACTCCCCCTGCCTTTGTTCGACCACCTATCTGGTGCTCTATATCTGAGTAGATGGCCCAAAATGCCTGATCAGCCTATAAAGTTATCGAACTCTGCTGAGTGAATTTTGGTTTGAAATATGTGTGAGAGCAGCCTATGCTTTTTATCGTTCTTGCTTTGAAAAAAAGAAAATAAGAGCGAATTTTAGGCTGCCTTTCTGAACTGGTTTGCAGCCTATGCTTTTATCGTTCTTGCTTTGAAAAAAAGAAAATAAGAGCGAATTTTAGGCTGCCTTTCTGAACTGGTTTACCTTAACACATTGTCGTAGAACAAACAATATGAAAACCTCTGTTAATATTTCAGTATAAACAAAATATCACACCTGTCTTACGTTAATTGATTTAACTCATTTTATTTTTGTGATGTTTCATCCGACCTAATATAAACTATAGGCCGAGAGACATCCCGTTACCCATTAGCAGTATTTCATCACATTGTTCTAATATGAGTGGCTTTGACCCGCATTATACTTAGCTCTACACAACTAACATTCATTAAACGTTAGACGAAGGTGACTGAAAACGCATCTCTACCCTATCGTTACACGAGTAAACTGATAAAATTGATGGGGTGAATTTTTGCCATATACACTCTATTTTAGTTATAATGATAGGTAATGCATTGTATTCAGTTCGTTCGAGATAAGTCGATTGGGGGTTACGAGCCCCCATATAGAACCCTATGTTGAGTTATCGTTCTTCAAATGACATTTTCTACTCGAAAACTAAATTTTATATATATATGAACATGTACTACCTTTCCACTCAATTTACCGACACACAATGCTACGAAACCGACCCCTTTGAATTGAATAGAATTTTTACTTGGCTCCTATCGAGATCTTAGATTAAAATAAATTAAAATAAGAGAATTAAAGATTTGACGTCAACAAAGCAGTATCTTACATAGGAAAAAAAATATGTTTTCGCATATAGGTATTTCTCTCATATTTTAGAAAGCATTCGTATCACTTAGATATTCGCCATATGGGCCGCTTCAAAGCTCGGTTTACCAGGAACTCACTCGAAAAAACCGTTCAAAATATTCGCAGAGCAGGCATTTACCCTATTACAATATGAGGAAAACACAAGCCACATTGGATTTGTAGCCCTTTCTACGTTGTAGCATCGAAATATAGGAACATGTATTGCATTTTTATTCAGCCTGTTGAGTTCTATCAATTGATGGCGAGGAACCTTACCTTTCCTCCCACATAAAACCCCATGGTAAGCTTGCAGCCTTTTATGCTTAAAAACTGACATTTGGATGTAGAAACACGCATTTCGATTCAACTCGTCGGAGGCTCCCGACTAATGTTAAGAACGGTCCCCCATTTAATAGACATCTATGTAAACATAGGGGAAATAAGCTGCCTGCCTGCCTGCCTGCCTGCCTGCACCTTTCAAAAACGTTCATTCGATTAGTTCATCAGTTATTTCATAAGTTATAAACTGTGGGCAAAATTACCAAAATAAGCAAAAAAAAAAAGCGTAAAAAATAAGAAAATCTCGGATTAAATTTTGTACCATTTTGTAGAGTTTGAAAAACAAACAAACCTTCAATATAAACGCTTTACAAATTGTTAATGATTATTGAGCAAACTGCTAAACAGGGTCAATTTGCTCAGGTTAATATTACGCTCTACAGACAAAAGAAACTCTTCTTGGAAGAAAATTATGTAATCAGCTCAGACGTTCCCAAGAGCAAGCCTTTCAGTAGTCTTGAAGAAATCAGCCCGATCTGAGCTATCGTTTTAGGTCGGACAAAAAAGCCGACAAACGGACGGATACAGAATTTAGGTATTACAGTATAAAGTAGGAGAGCCTGCGGGCTTCAGTTCACGTCAAGTTTCGCTTGGATTTCTAGAGAATTGATTGTATGATAATTGCCCGACTGGAAAAGAACCGTGTACTTTAGTAACTGCTCTTCCGTTTTGGCTCATTTATCCTTGTAGTATTTTGCGCTCATTTACCTGCCTATTTCAATAGGAACGCGTTTGATCCACGTCAGACCTGCTCTAACAATGACTATAGTTCGATTGCAGGCTACCTTGTCCTACGGCGCTTCGCTTCGAGTCTTGCAAATATCCCTATGGAATAGTTCTATTTTTTCAGTTAATTAATTACTGGTAGACGGCGTTCAATGCCGCGTTATCCATTCACAAATTAGAGGACGAAGAACGACAAGGATAGTGTGTGTCGTTTTGCGACAAAGGGCTCCGATTCTAAAATAAAAAGTACCTTGTATAATTAATGAAAGTACGTTCGCTCAGAAGGATGGCATCCCCCAGTGATACTGGATGGACACATCTTAAAGATTACGTATTACACTATGTGTTAATTCTCTGGAAAGGCTTTTTTGCTCGATGTGTTATTTGTATACAAATCGACCAGGTCGGCAGACAGCTCTATGCCACGTAACTAACTTTAGCTTAGTACATAGAAGAAGTTTGCCATCTTGTTTTTGAGAGATGCACCCTACAGTGACAATAAACATTGTACATTGCGCCTGCATGTTATTGCGCTCGTCGGCCCGCTATCGTTATTGGCGAGACGTGTATCGTTTACGTCCATTACGGCATTAGAATGCCGGAAAGCTTCATA